GAGTCTATGGTGCAGTGCTGAGTCTATGGTGCAGTGTTGAGTCTATGGTGCAGTGTTGAGTCTATGGTTCAGTGTTGAGTCTATGGTGCAGTGCTGAGTCTATGGTGCAGTGCTGAGTCTATGGTGCAGTGTTGAGTCTATGGTGCAGTGTTGAGTCTATGGTTCAGTTTTGAGTCTATGGTGCAGTGTTGAGTCTATGGTGCAGTGTTGAGTCTATGCGCAGTGTTGAGTCTATGGTGCAGTGTTGAGTCTATGGGCAGTGTTGAGTCTATGGGCAGTTCTGAGTCTATGATTCAATGCTGAGTCTATGGTGCAGTGCTGAGTCTATGATGCAGTGCTGAGTCTATGGTGCAGTGCTGAGTCTGTGGTGCAGTGTTGAGTCTATGGGCGGTGTTGGGTCTATGGTGCAGTGTTGAGTCTATGGGCAGTGTTGGGTCTATTGTGCAGTGTTGAGTCTATGGTGCAGTGCGGAGTCTGGTGCAGTGTTGAGTCTATGGTGCAGTGCTGATTCTGTGGTGCAGTGTTGAGTCTATGGTGCATTGTTGAGTCTATGGGGCAGTGTTGAGTCTATGGTGCAGTGCTGATTCTGTGGTGCAGTGTTGAGTCTATGGTGCATTGTTGAGTCTATGGTGCATTGTTGAGTCTATGGTGCAGTGCTGAGTCTATGGTGCAGTGTTGAGTCTGTGGTGCAGTGCTGAGTCTATGGTGCAGTGCTGAGTCTAGGGTGCAGTGCTGAGTCTATGGTGCAGTGCTGAGTCTATGGTGCAGTGCTGAGTCTGTGGTGCAGTGTTGAGTCTATGGGCGGTGTTGGGTCTATGGTGCATTGTTGAGTCTATGGTGCAGTGCTGAGTCTATGGTGCAGTGTTGAGTCTATGGTGCAGTGTTGAGTCTATGGTGCAGTGTTGAGTCTACGGTGCAGTGTAGAGTCTATGGTGCAGTGCTGAGTCTATGGTGCAGTGCTGAGTCTGTGGTGCTGTGCTGAGTCTATGGTGCATTGTTGAGTCTATGGTGCTGTGCTGAGTCTATGGTGCATTGTTGAGTCTATGGTGCAGTGTTGAGTCTATGGTGCAATGTTGAGTCTATGGTGCAGTGTTGAGTCTATGGGCAGTGTTGAGTCTATGGGGCAGTGTTGAGTCTATGGTGCAGTGTTGAGTCTATGGTATAGTGCTGAGTCTATGGTGCAGTGTTGAGTCTATGGTGCAGTGTTGAGTCTACGGTGCAGTGTTGAGTCTATGGTGCAGTGCTGAGTCTGTGGTGCAGTGTTGAGTCTATGGTGCAGTGCTGAGTCTATGGTGCAGTGCTGAGTCTGTGGTGCAGTGCTGAGTCTGTGGTGCAGTGTTGAGTCTGTGGTGCAGTGCTGCGTCTATGGTGCAGTGTTGAGTCTGAGTCTATGGTGTAGTGCTGAGTCTATGGTGCAGCGTTGAGTCTGAGTCTATGGTGCAGTGCTGAGTCTATGGTGCAGTGTTGAGTCTGAGTCTGTGGTGTAGGGCTGAGTCTATGGTGCAGCGTTGAGTCTGTGGTGCAGTGCTGAGTCTATGGTGCAGTGCTGAGTCTATGGTGCAGTGTTGAGTCTATGGTGCAGTGCTGAGTCTATGGTGCAGTGCTGAGTCTATGGTGCAGTGCTGAGTCTATGGTGCAGTGCTGAGTCTATGGTGCAGTGTTGAGTCTATGGTGCAGTGTTGAGTCTATGGTGCAGTGTTGAGTATATGGTGCAGTGCTGAGTCTATGGTGCAGTATTGAGTCTATGGTGCAGTGCTGAGTCTATGGTGCAGTGTTGATTCTATGGTGCAGTGTTGAGTTTGTGGTGCAGTGTTGAGTCTATGGTGCAGTGTTGAGTCTATGGTGCAGTGTTGAGTCTATGGTGCAGTTTTGAGTCTATGGTGCAGTGCTGAGTCTGTGGTGCAGTGCTGAGTCTGTGGTGCAGTGTTGAGTCTTTGGGGTAGTGTTGAGTTATAGTGCAGTGTTTAGTCTATGGTGCAGTGCTGAGTCTATGGTGCAGTGTTGAGTCTACGGTGCAGTGTTGAGTCTATTGTGCAGTGTTGAGTCTATGGGCAGTGTTGATTTTATGGTGCAGTGTTGAGTCTACGGTGCAGTGCTGAGTCTATGGTGCAGTGCTGAGTCTGTGGTGCAGCAGTGCTGAGTCTATGGTGCAGTGCTGAGTCTATGGTGCAGTGCTGAGTCTATGGTGCAGTGCTGAGTCTATGGTGCAGTGCTGAGTTTGTGGTGCAGTGCTGAGTCTGTGGTGCAGTGTTGAGTCTATGGGGAGTGTTGAGTCTATGGTACAGTGTTGAGTTTATGGTGCAGTGCTGAGTCTATGGTGCAGTGCTGAGTCTATGGTGCAGTTTTGAGTCTATGGTGCAGTGCTGAGTCTGTGGTGCAGTGCTGAGTCTGTGGTGCAGTGCTGAGTCTGTGGTGCAGTGCTGAGTCTATGGTGCAGTGCTGAGTCTATGTTATAGTCCTGAGTCTATGGTGCAGTGCTGAGTCTATGGTGTAGTGTTGAGTTATGGTGCAGTGTTGAGTCTATGGTGCAGTGTTGAGTCTATGGTGCAGTGCTGAGTCTGAGTCTATGTTGCAGTGCTGAGTCTATGGTGCAGTGTTGAGTCTTTGGTGCAGTGTTGAGTCTTTGGTGCAGTGTTGAGTCTATGGTGCAGTGTTGAGTCTATGGTGCAGTGCTGAGTCTGTGGTGCAGTGCTGAGTCTATGGTGCAGTGCTGAGTCTATGGTGCAGTGTTGAGTCTATGGTGCAGTAGTGCTGAGTTTTTCTACGGGCTGCTCACACTGCTTACCGCTGTTGTTGTTTCCCCGGCAGGCAACGTGGCGTGGATGCACGCGCTGGCTCTGCGAGCTCTGAGTCAGGGCCGTGAGGGCGTCGACGGTGAAGTCTTCTACTGCTATGACGATTCTCCCCGGTGAGACAATGCGGCGTCTAGAGACCGGTGTCAGGGTCAGGGTCTAGTGACCGGGTCTCAGTGTCAGTGTCTAGAGACCGGGTCTCAGGGTCAGTGTCTAGAGACCGGGTGTCAGGGTCAGTGTCTAGTGACCGGGTGTCAGGGTCAGTGTCTAGTGACCGGGTGTCAGTGTCAGTGTCTAGTGACCGGGTGTCAGTGTCAGTGTCTAGTGACCGGGTCTCAGGGTGAGTGTCTAGTGACCGGGTCTCAGTGTCTAGAGACCGGGTCTCAGGGTCTAGAGACCGGGTCTCAGGGTCAGTGTCTAGTGACCGGGTCTCAGTGTCTAGAGACCGGGTCTCAGGGTGAGTGTCTAGTGACCGGGTGTCAGGGTCAGTGTCTAGTGACCGGGTCTCAGGGTCAGTGTCTAGTGACCGGGTGTTAGGGTCAGTGTCTAGTGACCGGGTCTCAGGGTGAGTGTCTAGTGACCGGGTCTCAGTGTCTAGAGACCGGGTCTCAGTGTCTAGAGACCGGGTCTCAGGGTCAGTGTCTAGTGACCGGGTCTCAGTGTCTAGAGACCGGGTCTCAGGGTGAGTGTCTAGTGACCGGGTGTCAGGGTCAGTGTCTAGTGACCGGGTCTCAGGGTCAGTGTCTAGTGACCGGGTGTCAGGGTCAGTGTCTAGTGACCGGGTCTCAGGGTCAGTGTCTAGTGACCGGGTGTCAGGGTCAGTGTCTAGTGACCGGGTCTCAGGGTCTAGTGACCGGGTGTCAGGGTGAGTGTCTAGTGACCGGGTGTCAGGGTCAGTGTCTAGTGACCGGGTCTCAGGGTCAGTGTCTAGTGACCGGGTGTCAGGGTCAGTGACTAGTGACCGGGTCTCAGTGTCAGTGTCTAGTGACCGGGTCTCAGTGTCAATGTCTAGTGACCGGGTCTCAGGGTCAGTGTCTAGTGACCGGGTCTCAGTGTCAGTGTCTAGAGACCGGGTCTCAGTGTCAGTGTCTAGTGACCGGGTCTCAGGGTCAGTGTCTAGTGACCGGGTCTCAGTGTCTAGAGACCGGGTCTCAGGGTGAGTGTCTAGTGACCGGGTGTCAGGGTCAGTGTCTAGTGACCGGGTCTCAGGGTCAGTGTCTAGTGACCGGGTGTCAGGGTCAGTGTCTAGTGACCGGGTCTCAGGGTGAGTGTCTAGTGACCGGGTCTCAGTGTCTAGAGACCGGGTCTCAGGGTCAGTGTCTAGTGACCGGGTCTCAGTGTCTAGAGACCGGGTCTCAGGGTGAGTGTCTAGTGACCGGGTGTCAGGGTCAGTGTCTAGTGACCGGGTCTCAGGGTCAGTGTCTAGTGACCGGGTGTCAGGGTCAGTGTCTAGTGACCGGGTCTCAGGGTCAGTGTCTAGTGACCGGGTGTCAGGGTCAGTGTCTAGTGACCAGGTCTCAGGGTCTAGTGACCGGGTGTCAGGGTGAGTGTCTAGTGACCGGGTGTCAGGGTCAGTGACTAGTGACCGGGTCTCAGTGTCAGTGTCTAGTGACCGGGTCTCAGTGTCAATGTCTAGTGACCGGGTCTCAGGGTCAGTGTCTAGTGACCGGGTCTCAGTGTCAGTGTCTAGAGACCGGGTCTCAGTGTCAGTGTCTAGTGACCGGGTCTCAGGGTCAGTGTCTAGTGACCGGGTCTCATGGTCAGTGTCTAGTGACCGGGTGTCAGGGTCAGTGTCTAGTAACCGGGCCTCAGGGTCAGTGTCTAGAGACCGGGTCTCAGGGTCAGTGTCTAGTGACCGGGTGTCAGGGTCAGTGTCTAGTGACCGGGTCTCAGGGTCAGTGTCTAGTGACCGGGTGTCAGGGTCAGTGTCTAGTGACCGGGTCTCAGGGTCTAGTGACCGGGTGTCAGGGTGAGTGTCTAGTGACCGGGTGTCAGGGTCAGTGTCTAGTGACCGGGTCTCAGGGTCAGTGTCTAGTGACCGGGTGTCAGGGTCAGTGACTAGTGACCGGGTCTCAGTGTCAGTGTCTAGTGACCGGGTCTCAGTGTCAATGTCTAGTGACCGGGTCTCAGGGTCAGTGTCTAGTGACCGGGTCTCAGTGTCAGTGTCTAGAGACCGGGTCTCAGTGTCAGTGTCTAGTGACCGGGTCTCAGGGTCAGTGTCTAGTGACCGGGTCTCAGGGTCAGTGTCTAGTGACCGGGTGTCAGGGTCAGTGTCTAGTAACCGGGCCTCAGGGTCAGTGTCTAGAGACCGGGTCTCAGGGTCAGTGTCTAGTGACCGGGTGTCAGGGTCAGTGTCTAGTGACCGGGTCTCAGGGTCAGTGTCTAGTGACCGGGTCTCAGGGTCAGTGTCTAGAGACCGGGTCTCAGGGTCAGTGTCTAGTGACCGGGTGTCAGGGTCAGTGTCTAGTGACTGGGTCTCAGTGTCAGTGTCTAGAGACCGGGTGTCAGTGTCAAGGTCTAGTGACCGGGTCTCAGGGTCAGTGTCTAGTGACCGGGTCTCAGGGTCAGTGTCTAGTGACCGGGTCTCAGGGTCAGTGTCTAGTGACTGGGTGTCAGTGTCAGTGTCTAGTGACCGGGTGTCAGTGTCAGTGTCTAGTGACCGGGTCTCAGGGTCAGTGTCTAGTGACCGGGTCTCAGGGTCTGTGTCTAGTGACCGGGTGTCAGTGTCAGTGTCTAGTGACCGGGTCTCAGGGTCAGTGTCTAGAGACCGGGTGTCAGGGTCAGTGTCTAGTGACCGGGTCTCAGTGTCAGGGTCTAGTGACCGGGTCTCAGTGTCTAGAGACCGGGTCTCAGGGTCAGTGTCTAGTGACCAGGTCTCAGTGTCAGTGTCTAGTGACCGGGTCTCAGGGTCAGTGTCTAGAGACTGGGTCTCAGGGTCAGTGTCTAGTGACCGGGTCTCAGTGTCAGTGTCAAGTGACCGGGTCTCAGGGTCAGTGTCTAGTGACTGGGTCTCAGGGTCAGTGTCTAGAGACTGTGTCTCAGTGTCAGTGTCTAGTGACCGGGTCTCAGGATCAGTGTCTAGTGACCGGTTCTCAGGGTCAGTGTCTACAGACTGGGTCTCATTGTCAGTGTCTAGAGACCGGGTCTCAGGGTCAGTGTCTAGTGACCGGGTCTCAGGGTCAGTGTCTAGAGACCGGGTCTCAGGGTCAGTGTCTAGTGACCGGGTCTCAGGGTCAGTGTCTAGTGACCGGGTCTCAGTGTCAGTGTCTAGAGACCGTGTCTCAGGGTCAGTGTCTAGTGACCGGGTCCCAGTGTCAGTGTCTAGTGACCGGGTCTCAGGGTCAGTGTCTAGAGACCGGGTCTCAGTGTCAGTGTCTAGTGAATGGGTCTCAGGATCAGTGTCTAGTGACCGGGTCTCAGGGTCAGTGTCTAGTGACCGGGTCTCAGGGTCAGTGTCCAGTGACCGGGTCTCAGGGTCAGTGTCTAGTGACCGGGTCTCAGTGTCAGGGTCTAGTGACCGGGTCTCAGGGTGAGTGTCTAGTGACCGGGTCTCAGGGTCAGTGTCTCGTGACCGGGTCTCAGGGTCAGTGTCTAGTGACCGGGTCTCAGGGTCAGTGTCTAGTGACCGGGTCTCAGGGTCAGTGTCTAGTGACCGGGTCTCAGGGTCAGTGTCTAGAGACCGGGTCTCAGGGTCAGTGTCTAGTGACCGGGTCTCAGGGTCAGTGTCTAGTGACCGGGTCTCAGTGTCAGTGTCTAGTGACCGGGTCTCAGGGTCAGTGTCTAGAGACCAGGTCTCAGGGTCAGTGTCTAGTGACCGGGTCTCAGGGTCAGTGTCTAGTGACCGGGTCTCATGGTCAGTGTCTAGTGACCGGGTCTCAGTGTCAGTGTCTAGTGACCGGGTCTCATGGTCAGTGTCTAGTGACCGGGTCTCATGGTCAGTGTCTAGTGACCGGGTCTCATGGTCAGTGTCTAGTGACCGGGTCTCAGTGTCAGTGTCTAGTGACCGGGTCTCAGGGTCAGTGTCTAGTGACCGGGTCTCAGTGTCAGTGTCTAGAGACCGGGTCTCAGGGTCAGTGTCTAGTGACCGGGTCCAAGTGTCAGTGTCTAGTGACCGGGTCTCAGGGTGAGTGTCTAGAGACCGGGTCTCAGGGTCAGTGTCTAGTGACCGGGTCTCAGTGTCAGTGTCTAGTGACTGGGTCTCAGTGTCAGTGTCTAGTGACCGGGTCTCAGGATCAGTGTCTAGTGACCGGTTCTCAGGGTCAGTGTCTACAGACTGGGTCTCATTGTCAGTGTCTAGAGACCGGGTCTCAGGGTCAGTGTCTAGTGACCGGGTCTCAGGGTCAGTGTCTAGTGACCGGGTCTCAGGGTCAGTGTCTAGTGACCGGGTCTCAGGGTCAGTGTCTAGTGACCGGGTCTCAGTGTCAGTGTCTAGTGACCGGGTCTCAGTGTCAGTGTCTAGAGACCGGGTCTCAGGGTCAGTGTCTAGTGACCGGGTCCAAGTGTCAGTGTCTAGTGACCGGGTCTCAGGGTGAGTGTCTAGTGACCGGGTCTCAGGGACAGTGTCTAGTGACCGAGTCTCAGTGTCAGTGTCTAGTGACCGGGTCTCAGGGTCAGTGTCTAGTGACCGGGTCTCAGAGTCAGTGTCTAGAGACCGGCTCTCAGGTTCAGTATAAAAATTTTAGAATGTTCAAAGTGTCAATGCACTGGGCCCATGACATTATCGAGCAGAATTCTTACCTTGAACGTTGGACCCACAAATCAGAGCATCTCCAACATTTGCTGCTTCTGCTGCTGTTAATGCCAATCATTAACCCCAACGCCACTCCCTACCCGCAGTGGAGGCCTTTTTTCAAACCACGCCACGTTCAGTGGGTATCACAACGGCCGTGTTGGAGAGACTGAGACAGCGGAGCTGAGATCCCTGGGTTCGAACCCTGGGTCTGGGCGTATCTCTCTCTACAATCCCTGTCTCAGTGAGTTCACAACGTCGGTGTTGGAGACACTGAGACCCTGGGTTCGAACCCTGGGTTCGAACCCTGGGTCTGGGCATATGTTTGTCTAAAATCCCTGTCTCAGTGGGTATCACAACGGCCGTGTCAGGGACACTGAGACCCTGGCTTCGAGCCCTGGATCTGGGTGTCTCTCTCAGTTGGTTCACAATGTCCCTGGTGGAGAGACGAAGACCCTGGGTTTGAGCCCTGGGTCCGGGTGTCTCTCCTTTGGTGGGTTCACAACGGCCGTGTCAGGGACACTGAGACCCTTGGTTCGAGCCCTGGGTCTGGGCGTATCTCTCTCTACAATCCCTGTCTCAGTGGGTTCACAACGGCTGTGTCAAGGGACACTGAGACCCTGGCTTGGAGCCCTGTGTCTGGCTGTGACGGTGTCGTAGACACTGAGGATCCTGGGTTCGAGCCCTGGGTCTGGGCGTACCTCTCTCTACAATCCCTGTCTCAGTGAGTTCACAAAGGCCGTGTCAGGGACACTGAGACCCTGGGTTCGAGCCCCTGGGTCTGGGCGTCTCACTGAGTTCACAAATGGCCGTGTCGGAGAGACGGAGATCCTGGGTTCGAGCCCTGGGTCTGGTCGTACCTCTCTCTACAATCCCTGTCTCAGTGGGTATCACAACGGCCGTGTCAGGGACACCGAGACCCTGGGTGTCGATCCCCTCGGTCCTGGTCTGTGTGTGTCTGTGTGTGTACACACGTCTCTATTAGCGGGTCCGCAGCGACCACGTCGAAGGCACACACTGGCGCGCAAACCGCCGAGCGAACGCTAAGTCTCTAATAATAGAAATCCCTTAGTTGGTGGCAATTTAATAATTGATGAGCGTCCCTTCTTGCCGATGTCCAATCATCAACCTGGACGGTGACTCTGCCGCTTGACCCGTGAGTGAATCACGCTGAGGTTTACACTTCTGCAGCAGCCGCAGGGCTCAGCACGCCGGGTGGATTCCTATCTCCCGGAGCGGCGGTTGTTTAAAGAGTAGAGGGGGCGAGGGGGGGGGGGGGTGTAGTTGCTTAACTCTCACGCATCGCTCGCGAGTTACGATTTGCCTTCAGTTGATTTCGCCACGACCCCGATTCTCACTCGAGGGAGTGAATGAGTGGTTGAGTGAGTTGTTGAGTGAGTGAGTGGTTGAGTGAGTGAGTGGTTGAGTGAGTGGTTGAGTGAGTGAGTGGTTGGGTGAATGAGTGGTTGGATGAGTGAGTGGTTGAGTGAGTGGTTTAGTAAGTAGTTGAGTGAATGAGTGGTTGAATGAGTGAGTGTACGAGGGAGTGAATGAGTGGTTGAGTGAGTGGTTGAGTGAGTGAGTGGTTGAGTGAGTGAGTGGTTGAGTGAGTGAGTGGTTGAGTGAATGAGTGGTTGAGTGAATGAGTGGTTGAATGAGTGAGTGTACGAGGGAGTGAATGAGTGGTTGAGTGAATGAGTGGTTGAATGAGTGAGTGGTTGAGTGAGTGGTTGAGTGAATTAGTGGTTGAATGAGTGAGTGAGTGGTTGAGTGAATGAGTGGTTGAGTGAGTGATTGAATGAGTGAGTGAGTGAATGAGTGAGTGGTTTAGTGAGTGGTTGAGTGAATGAGTGGTTGAATGACTGAGTGTGCGCGGGAGTGAATGAGTGGTTGAGTGAGTGGTTGAGTGAGTGAGTGATTGAGTGAGTAGTTGAGTGAGTGGTTGAGTGAATGAGTGGTTGAATGAGTGAGTGGTTGAGTGAATGAGTGGTTGAGTGAGTGGTTGAGTGAATGAGTGGTTGAGTGAGTGGTTGAATGAGTGAGTAGTTGAGTGAGTGGTTGAGTGAATGAGTGGTTGAATGAGTGAGTGAGTGAATGAGTGAGTGGTTTAGTAAGTGGTTGAGTGAATGAGTGGTTGAATGAGTGAGTGTACGAGGGAGTGAATGAGTGGTTGAGTGAATGAGTGGTTGAGTGAGTGGTTTAGTAAGTGGTTGAGTGAGTGGTTGAGTGAATGAGTGGTTGAATGAGTGAGTATACGAGGGAGTGAATGAGTGGTTGAGTGAATGAGTGGTTGAATGAATGAGTGGTTGAATGAGTGAGTGGTTTAGTGAGTGGTTTCGTGTCTGCACGATTTCACATTCTATTGGGTCTTTCGTTAGAGTCACGTAGATGGGTTCAAAGAAAATAACAAGCAAAATATCTACGACGTTTCGATCGTAAGACAAGCGTTCGTCATCAGGATCACAACTCGCGATCCGCCTCCTTTTAATCTCGCCAAGACCCCCATGATCACTCACAACTCGCGATCCGCTTTTTATTAATCTCACTCATGGCCCGTAACTTACGACAAAAATCTTTAAAAGAACGAGATTTTCTCTTAAACCCCCCTTCTCTATGTCCACGCCTCCTCCCCCACCACCACCACCACAACCACCTCCACCACCACCACCACCACCACCTCCACCCTGCACCACCACCACCACCACCACCACCCATCACAACCTCCACCACCCCGCACCACCACCACCATCACCACCCTGCACCACCACCACTACCACCTCCACCCCCATCACCACCACCACCACCACCACCACCACAACCACCCCCCCCACCACCACCACCTCCACCACCCACCACCACCCCCCCCCACCACCACTACCACCACCACCACCTCCACCCCCATCACCACTACCACCACCACCCCCACCACCACCACCACCCCCACCACCACCACCACCCCCACCACCACCACCACCACCACAACCACCCCCCCCACCACCACCACCTCCACCACCCACCACCACCCCCCCCCACCACCACTACCACCACCACCACCTCCACCCCCATCACCACTACCACCACCACCCCCACCGCCACCACCACCCCCACTACCACCACCACCCCCACCACCACCACCACCACCACAACCACCCCCCCCACCACCACCACCTCCACCACCCACCACCACCACCACCACCACCCCCATCACCACCACCACCACCCCCACCACCACCCCCACCCACCACCACCACCACCCCCACCCCCCCCACCCCCCCCCCCCCCCCCCCCACCCCCCACCCCACCCCCACCCCCACCCACCAACACCCCCCCCCACCTTAGTCTCTCCTACGAGGACTTCAACATGGAGATCCTGTCGCTGTGCGGGGTCCGCATGCTGCGGTGGCTCCGCGTCCCGCCGCTCCTCGTCCGCCTCCTGGGCGCCTTCAACGACGCGCTGAGGGCCGCCCTCGCCGCCCTCGGCGTCGCCTACGGCCCGCCGCTGCTCACGCGCTACACCGCCGCCATCGCCCTCACCGTCTTCAGCGTCGACACCGACAAGGCGGCGCGGCTCTTCGGCTACGCGCCGCGGTACTCCTGGCCGCAGGCACGCGACCGCACGGCCGCGTGGGTTCGCACCCTCGGTGGTGGAGGCGGAGGCGGAGGCGGTGGTGGTGGAGGCGGTGGAGGTGGTGGTGGAGGCGGTGGTGGAGGCGGAGGTGGTGGTGATGATGGAGACGACCGCAAGGGAAAGTAGCTCCGGTGATGGAGGGAGGGGGGAGGAGGAGGAGGAGGGGGGAGGAGGAGGAAGGAGGAGGAAGGAGGAAGGAGGTGGTGGTGGAGGCGGAGGCGGTGGTGGAGGCGGTGGTGGAGGTGGAGGCGGTGGTGGAGGCGGTGATGATGGAGACGACCGCAAGGGAAAGTAGCTCCGGTGATGGAGGAAGGAGGAGGGAGGAGGAAGGCGGAGGGAGGAGGAGGAAGGAGGCGGTGGTGGAGGTGGAGGTGGTGGTGGAGGCGGTGGTGGAGGCGGTGGTGGAGGTGGTGGTGGAGGTGGTGGTGGTGGAGGCGGCGGAGGCGGTGGTGGAGGCGGAGGCGGTGGTGGAGGCGGCGGTGATGATGGAGGCGACCGCAAGGGAAAGTAGCTCCGGTGATGGAGGAAGGAGGAGGGAGGAAGGAGGAAGGAGGAGGAAGGAGGAGGAAGGAGGAAGGAGGAGGAAGGAGGAGGAAGGAGGAGGGAGGAGGAAGGAGGAAGGAGGAGGAGGGAGGAGGACGAAGGAGGAAGGAGAAGGAAGGAGGCGGTGGTGGAGGCGGCGGAGGCGGTGGTGGAGGCGGAGGCGGTGGTGGAGGCGGAGGTGGTGGTGGAGGTGGAGGCGGTGGTGGAGGTGGAGGTGGAGGCGGTGGTGGAGGTGGAGGCGGTGGTGGAGGTGGAGGCGGTGGTGGAGGCGGTGGTGGAGGCGGAGGCGGTGGTGGAGGCGGTGTTGGAGGCGGAGGCGGTGGTGGAGGCGGTGGTGATGATGGAGACGACCGCAAGGGAAAGTAGCTCCGGTGATGGAGGAAGGGGGAGGAAGGAGGAGGAGGGGGGAGGGAGGAGGGGGGAGGAGTAGGAAGGAGGAAGGAGGAGGATGGAGGAGGAAGGAGGCGGTGGTGGAGGCGGAGGCGGTGGTGGAGGCGGAGGCGGTGGTGGAGGCGGAGGCGGTGGTGGTGATGGAGGCGACCGCAAGGGAAAGTAGCTCCGGTGATGGAGGAAGGAGGAGGGGAGGAGGAGGAGGGGGGAGGAGGAGGAGGAAGGAGGAGGAAGGGGAAGGAAGGAAAGGAGGAGGAAGGAAAGTAAGGAATGAGGAAGGAGGAGGGAGGGAGGAGGAGGGAGGAGGAGGAAGGAGGGAGGGGAAGGAAGGGAAGGAAAGGAAGGAATGAGGAAGGAGGTAGAGAAGTTGTTGGGGAGTCTTGAGGCCCATTGAGACTCAGGCGACGGAACGGGGACAGCCTCATGGGCGTCGGAGCGGCGATGGCGGCGGCGATGATGGATCCCACCGCAAGGGAAAGTAGCTCCGGTGAAGGAGGGCGGAAGGGAAGGAGGGAAGGAGGGAAGGAGGAGGGAGGAAGGAAGGAAGGAAGGTAGAGAGAGAGAGAGATGGTGAGTTGAGTGAAGAAGCTTTTGGCAAGGAACATTCGTGCTAACCAGAGCCTTGAGTCTCTGGGGGGTGGACTGGGCGTCAGCGTCCAGTCCACCCCCCGATCGACTCCGGGCTGACTGATTGACCGATCTCTACGTGACGTGATTGCGTGAGTGAGTGAGCGATGATCATTCGCGTGATTCGACGATTCATGCGAAGGCTGCCGAGAGATTGTACAGCGCAGTTAGCCGCTCCATCGGTGGTTTTGTGCTCCTGTTAATTCTGAATTAAAAAAAATGTGTTTATGTTCGCGTGCTGCTGCTACTGCTGCCGCTGCTGCTTCATATGTGCAACGTTTAACTTTGTTTTGACTACTAACTACCTCGCAGATTGCTGCATTGGGAAAGTAACCACAGCAGCAGCAGCAATCATCGCTACCCGCTACTACTGACTGACACACACAGAGACAGCTGCCACTGGGGGTGCCCCTAGGCTATAGACCCACACAGCAACAATCATCTCTACCCCTACTACTGACAGCTGACTCACACAAAGGGACAGCTGTCACTGGGGGTGCCCCTAGGCTATAGACCCACACAGCAGCAGAATCATCTCTACCCCTACTACTGACAGCTGACTGACACACACAGGGACAGCTGCCACTGGGGGTGCCCCCAGGCTATAGACCCACACAGCAGTAGCAATCATCGCTACCCCCTACTACTGACAGCTGACTGACACACAGAGACAGCTGTCACTGGGGATGCCCCCAGGCTATAGACCCACACAGCAACAATCATCACTACCCCCGACTACTGACAGCTGACTGACACACACAGGGACAGCTGCCACTGGGGGTGCCCCTAGGCTATAGACCCACACAGCAACAGCAGCAACAATCATCGCTACCCCCTACTACTGACAGCTGACTGACACACACAGGGACAGCTGCCACTGGGGGTGCCCCCAGGCTATAGACCCACACAGCAGTAGCAATCATCGCTACCCCCTACTACTGACAGCTGACTGACACACAGAGACAGCTGTCACTGGGGATGCCCCTAGGCTATAGACCCACACAGCAGCAGCAATCATCGCTACCCCTACTACTGACAGCTGACTAACACACAGAGACAGCTGTCACTGGGGGTGCCCCTAGGCTATAGATCCACACAGCAGTAGAAATCATCGCTACCCCTACTACTGACAGCTGACTGACACACACAGGGACAGCTGTCACTGGGGGTGCCCCTAGGCTGTAGACCCACACAGCAGTAGAAATCATCGCTACCCCTACTGCTAACAGCTGACTCACACACAGGGACAGCTGCCACTGGGGGTGCCCCTAGGCTATAGACCCACACAGCAGCGATCATCGCTACCCCTACTACTGACAGCTGACTGACACACACGGACAGCTGTCACTGGGGGTGCCCCTAGGCTATATACCCACACAGCAGTAGAAATCATCGCTACCCCTACTACTGACAGCTGACTGACACACACAGGGACAGCTGCCACTGGGGGTGCCCCAAGGCTGTAGACCCACACAGCAGTAGAAATCATCGCTACCCCCTACTACTGGCTGACACACAGAGACAGCTGCCACTGGGGGTGCCCCTAGGCTATAAACCCACACAGCAACAATCATCGCTACCCCTACTACTGACAGCTGACTCACACACACAGGGACAGCTGCCACTGGGGGTGCCCCTAGGCTATAGACTCACACAGCAGCAGCAGCAATCATCGCTACCCCTACTACTGACAGCTGACTCACACAGGGACAGCTGTCACTGGGGGTGCCCCTAGGCTATAGACCCACACAGCAGTAGAAATCATCGCTACCCCTACTACTGACAGCTGACTGACACACACAGGGACAGCTGCCACTGGGGGTGCCCCTAGGCTATAGATCCACACAGCAGTAGAAATCATCGCTACCCCTACTACTGACAGCTGACTAACACACACAGAGACAGCTGCCACTGGGGGTGCCCCTAGGCTATAGATCCACACAGCAGTAGAAATCATCGCTACCCCTACTACTGACAGCTGACTAACACACACAGGGACAGCTGTCACTGGGGGTGCCCCTAGGCTATAGTCTCACACAGCAACAATCATCGCTACCCCTACTACTGACAGCTGACTGACACACTCAGAGACAGCTGCCACTGGGGGTGCCCCCAGGCTATAGACCCACACAGCAACGATCATCGCTACCCCTACTACTGACAGCTGACTGACCCACAGAGACAGCTGCCACTGGGGGTGCCCCTAGGCTATAGATCCACACAGCAACAATCATCGCTACCCCTATTACTGACAGCAGACTGACACAGGGACAGCTGCCACTGGGGGTGCCCCTAGGCTATAGTCTCACACAGCAACAATCATCGCTACCCCCTACTACTGACAGCTGACTGACACCGTACACCAACGCTGTGTGCAAAAATCCCAGTGGGATGGAAGTCAAATAGCAACAACAACAACAACAACCACCACAAGACAACTAAGGTTAAGGCCATCGCAAACGTTTCCTCACGAGCTACACGCAGCGCGCTTCGGACGAACGCGTCTCTATGCCCTCTGGTTCTTTCCGTTAACGCCACGTGGCTCGGGCTAAAACCGAGGCAACGGGTCAGGACGTTCCGGCGGCTGGGCAAGCCGCCCAATTCACGGAAGGCCGTCCAATCGAAACGCGTCCCTCCGCCCGAGCGGGGCGACGAAACGTGGCGCCGTCGAGAGCCGCAAGGCCGCTGCCGGCCGCCGGTGGCCGGGACCACGAGCGGGACGAAAAGTGCGGTCCGGGGGTGGGTGGTGGTGGTCCACGTTAACCCGCGCCGGTCTCTTCGGGCCCAAGGGGGGGACTCGAGGCCGCGATATGCCGTTGAACCCCTCTCGACAACGTATTCCTCTCAACGGACGCCCCGACTCGACCCTGACACGACCCGTCCGTGCGTCCGTGCGTGTCTCCCCATCCCTGTCTCGTCCTCCTTTTCGCTAAGTCAGCCATCCGCCACCGGAGCTGCCCGTTGCCTTGCGGTCAGCGCCAATTCTCGTCGCCTGCCTTCGTCCTGGTGTCCGCACTGTACTGCGCACTATACGCTGCTGTACTATACACTACACTATGCACTACACTACTATACACTACACTATACATTACACTATACACTACATTACACTATACACTACTGTATTATACACTCCACTATACATTACACTATACTATATACTACACTATACACTACACTATACACTACACTATACACCACACTCACTATACATTACACTATACGCTACTGTACTATACACTACACTATACACTACTGTACACTATACACTACACTATACACTACACTATACACTACTACACACTACACTGTACACTACACTATACACTACACTATACACTACTGTAAACTATACACTACTGTACTATACACTACACTATACAATACACTACTGTACTATACACTACACTATACACTACACTATACACTACTGTACACTATACACTACTGTGCACTACGCACTACTGTACACTATGCTATACACTACTGTACTGTACACTACACTATACATTGCACTATAGGCTACTATACACTACACTATACACTACAGTATACTACACTATACACTACACTATACACTACACTATACACTACACTATACACTACACTACACTACACACTATACTATACTATACACCACACTATACACTACACACTACCCTATACGCTACTGTACACTACACTACACACTACACTATTCAAAGTGAGTGGTTGGGTGAGTGGTTTAGTAAGTGGTTGAGTGAATGAGTGGTTGAGTGAGTGAGTGGTTGAGTGAATGAGTGAGTGGTTGAGTGAGTGGTTGAGTGGTTTAGTGAGTGGTTGAGTGAATGAGTGGTTGAATGAGTGAGTGGTTGAGTGAATGAGTGAGTGGTTGCGTGAGTGGTTGAGTGGTTTAGTGAGTGGTTGAGTGAATGAGTGGTTGAATGAGTGAGTGTACAAGGGAGTGAATGAGTGGTTGAGTGAGTGAGTGGTTGAGTGAGTGAGTGGTTGAGTGAGTGGTTGAGTGAATGAGTGGTTGAATGAGTGAGTGTAGGAGGGAGTGAATGAGTGAGTGGTTAACACATCGCACGGTTAACCTCGTGGAGTCTCGTACCCCCATGTACGGCTTTCACCCTTACCGACTTTCGCAAATACACCGTCACTTTATACTATGTAGGAACCTCCCGGTTACTACACCACCAGCCCACAGGGGATTATTGTGTCCGTCCGTCCGTCGTGCATCCAACAATGGCTGGATGGGGAGGGTGGGGAGGGGAGGGTGGGGAGGGGCTGGTCACCCCGTGGTGCCCCCTTATAAAACTCAACGTTTCACCTGCTTATAAAACTCAACGTGTCACCTACTTATAAAACTCAACGTTTCACCTACTTATAAAACTCAACGTTTCACCTACTTATAAAACTCAACGTTTCACCTGCTTATAAAACTCAACGTTTCACCTACTTATAAAACTCAACGTTTCACCTACTTTTAAAACTCAACGTTTCACCTACTTATAAAACTCAACGTTTCACCCACTTATAAAACTCAACGTTTCACCTACTTTTAAAACTCAACGTTTCACCTACTTATAAAACTCAACGTGTCACTTACTTATAAAACTCAACGTTTCACCTACTTATAAAACTCAACGTGTCACCTACTTATAAAACTCAACGTTTCTTATAAAACTCAACGTTTCACCTACTTATAAAACTCAACGTTTCTTATAAAACTCAACGTTTCACCCACTTATAAAACTCAACGTTTTTTTTATAAAACTCAACGTTTCACCTACTTATAAAACTCAACGTTTCTTATAAAACTCAACGTTTCACCTACTTATAAAACTCAACGTTTCTTATAAAACTCAACGTTTCACCTACTTATAAAACTCAACGTTTCACCTACTTATAAAACTCAACGTTTCTTATAAAACTCAACGTTTCACCTACTTATAAAACTCAACGTTTCTTATAAAACTCAACGTTTCACCTACTTATAAAACTCAACGTTTCACCTGCTTACAAAACTCAACGTTTCACCTACTTATAAAACTCAACGTTTCACCTACTTATAAAACTCAACGTTTCACCTGCTTATAAAACTCAACGTTTCACCTACTTATAAAACTCAACGTTTCTTATAAAACTCAACGTTTCACCTACTTATAAAACTCAACGTTTCACCTACTTATAAAACTCAACGTTTCACCTACTTATAAAACTCAACGTTTCACCTACTTATAAAACTCAACGTTTCACCTACTTATAATAAAACTCAACGTTTCACCTACTTATAAAACTCAACGTTTCACCTACTTATAAAACTCAACGTGTCACCTACTTATAAAACTCAACGTTTCACCTACTTATAAAACTCAACGTTTCACCCACT